AAATAAATAAATAAATAAATAAATAAATAAATAAATAAATAAATAAATAAAAAATCAGAGAAGAAAAGAGACATTGCAATGGATCCACAGAAATGGATAATTTCTGGAACCTACACACTTTACCACGGCTGAACCATAAAGCAGAGGAAAGCCGAAGAGATCAATAACAAGTAATGAAACTGAATCCGTGATTTAAAAACAGTCTCCAATCAAAGAAAAGGCCAGGACAAGACAATTGCACTGCCGAGTTCCACCACACATTTAAAGAGGACTGAAGTCTAGTTCCTCCTCAACGAGTCCACAAAATGGAACGAGTATGAGGTAATCTCTCCAGCCACAGTCGGCAATGCCAGCCTTATCCTGTTGCTACCCTAACCACAGAAGAACACTCAGTTCTAACAGGTTAATTACCCCATGAACATAGATATAAAAATCTTCAACAAAATATTAGCACATATAAAAAAGAATATTATCATTATTCATAATAGTTAAACATATGTAAATCAGTAAATATGTAAATCAAAATAAACCATCAAAATGAAGGACAAAAACTATTTGATCACCACGATTCATTAAAAATGCATTTGATAAAATTAAACATTCAACAGTAGACAACATATATACTTAGGTAAAGAACATATATACTTCAACACAGCAATGGCAAATACAATAAGGTAACACATAATTTGTATTCCATGAGAAAAGGCTAAAAGTATTCTGTCATAGCACCTAGAACAAGACCATCACTTGTATTCAACACAGGACTGAAAGCCTCAGGCAGAACGATCAAGCAAGGCAAAGAATGAAAGCATCTAAATTGGAAACGAGGATGTCAAACTGTCGCTATTTGCAGATGACATGGTCTAATATATAGAAAAACTCACACTCCACCAAACACCTAGGGAATTAATGTACAAGTTTAGCGAAGTTGCAGGACACAAAGTGTGAAAGTTAGTGCTTTTAAAACAGACATCAAGAAAGTTACCCTATTTTTCAGTAACTATAAAAAATAAAACGCATGGGAGTAAATCTAACCAAAAGGGTGAACAGTCTCTACAATGAAAACTATACAAAATAGTATTTAAAAATTGAAAAGACACACTAAATCAAAATACATCCTGTGTTTATAGATTGGATGAATCAATACTATCAAAATGTACGTATCACCAAAAGTTGTCTTATAGATTCATTAACAATCCATAACAATCCATAACAAAGACATTCTTCTGAGAACCAGGGAAAACAACCCTGAAAGCTCTCTAGGAGACACATGCATGTGTGTATGCACATACATATATATAAATGCACACACACATACACACATACATGCACATACAAAAGCCTTTATAGATAAAGCAATGTTTAGCAAAGAAAAAAGCAGAAAGAATTATACTAAATAATTTCAAAATAAACTGCAGGGTTGAGATAATCAAAGAACATGAAACTGACAGAGACAACCACCCCTGGAAAAGAAGGAGTGGGCGCCTGGATCCACGGAGTAGCCAACTGACTTCTAACAAATACTGCCAGCATGCAGAGGAGAACGGACAGTCACTTAAAATAATGATTGAGTAGACAGAAGAATGAAATTAGATCCCTTAACTGACCAGATGCAAAATCCTAAAAATGAATTAAAGGCTCAAACATCAAGACCTGGAAAAATGAAACTACTAGAAGAAAATGTAGAGGAAACTTTTAGGACATATGAACGGGCAAGGTCTTTTGTGTGTGTGTGTGTGTGGCAAGACCTGAATATCACAGTCAAAAAATAAAAAGAAATGACAAATGGATTACGACACAGCACAAAACGTGTGCAGAGGAAGCAGCCTTCAGGGTGAAGAAGCAGCACACATCATGGGAGGCCATACTGGTAAACCACATATCAGATAGGGAGTGGATATCTAGATAGAAGGAATTCAAATAACAGCAAAAGCCAACCTGATAAAAAAACGTACAGTAGACATGTCTGAGAAGAAGACGGGCACGCGCCTCAACAGGCGTGTGCACGGTGCTCAATCCCACCAGCCCCCAGGAAACGCAGATGGAAGCGGATGTGAGCTATCAATGTGTCCCCATGAGAACGGGCTGTTACAGAATGAGAAGAGAAGAGGGAGCCCTTTCTCAGTGTTGCTGGGAATGTAAATTAGTGTTGCCATTTTGGAGAACAAGATGGAAGGTCCTTAAAAAAAGAAAACAACTAAAAATAGAAGCACCATATGGTCCAGCTCTCATTGCTGGGTGTATATCCAAGGGAGGGGGACAGTGTGTCAAAGAGACGTCTGCACTCCCATGTGCACCGCAGCAATAGCCAAGAAATGGAAAGAAGCCAGCATCCACACATGACCACAGAAAACCTGGCAATGAAACACAATGGACAGCACAATGGACAACACAATCCGTGACAAGGCGGGTAGAACTGGTGATCACTGTGTTAAGTGAAATAAGGCAGGCACATAAAGACAAGAGCTGCATGACTCCACTCATGTGT